CCCCCCCCCCGCCCCTAAACCCCACCACCCCCTGGAGTGGGGCGCCAGGCCTGCACCCGGCCACAGCATCCTAGTGCGGAGTATCCCAGACACCCAGGCATCCTGGCCCCAGACCATTGGGCTTTTGGCATCACGATCCCGGAGCATCCCAGACACACAGGCATCGTGGTCCCCGGGAACCCCGACCCCAGTCATTCCACCCCCGAGTGGGTGGGTGCAGGTTGACTGCACACCCTTCTTTCTGCAGCTGTGTTGCTGCGGGCGCGAGAGGCGGCGCAGTTCCTGCGGCCCAGGCAGCGCCGCGCCTACCAAGTCTTCGAGGAGGCCAAGCAGGGCCACCTGGAACGGGAGTGCGTGGAGGAGGTGTGCAGCAAGGAGGAGGCCAGAGAGGTGTTCGAAAATGACCCCGAGACGGTGAGCGGGCGCCGAGGTCTCGGGGAGGGGTCTGTGCGTCCCAGAACCGGTACTTCTGAATGCTACAAGTCCTGGTTCCCACCCTGCTCAGGTCCGGGGGACCGGGGAGCCAGGGGACTGTGGAATCCCAGGCACCCATTCTGGAAGTTTGAGAATCCTTGTGGGGACCGCGCCACTGCGCGCACCCCGAAACTCTTAGACACGGAGCTTTGTGTCCACCCCCTTTCACCTCACCACTCTTGAGCCCCTGCTCCCCTGGTGACCCCAAGTTCTCTCCTTTTCAGGAGCAGGAGGAGGTGTGTCCTTGAGCAGGGTCCACTGAGGCCCGTGTAGGTGTATCTAAGGGAAGCCCTTTAAAGAAGACAAACTAAACTTTCTCCTATCCCTAAAGGAAAGGCGCCCATGGGAAAGAAACATAGTTGTTTGAAACTCAAAGGCTTCCCCAGGTTGTCCTGATCCTAAATTGGATTGGAGGTGAGGGGTGGAGCTTCTCTTTACTTTTCCTCCAGGGGGACCCAGGGTTTCCCTGAAAGAGGAATTGAAAGATCTCAAGACTGGAATTGCTTGCAGCAGCAGGTCCAAAAATACGATGGCTGGAATTGTGCAAAGAACATGCATATGCGAGGGTGGGGAAGAACGTAGGGAAGGTCCGGCACCTGACTCTGTGAGGGCTGTGCCTCTGTGAGGGCTGTGCCTCTGTGAGGGCTGCGCTGGCCCAGGACAAACTTCTATTAATAATGTCCTTGGGGAACGGAGCAGGCACACAGCCAACTGCAGCCAGCAGCCCACGTGTGCACAGGAGTCTCCACAGAAGGTGAATCTGGGGGCTGAGTGGGTTCAGAGGGGAACATACCCCAGATTAGGGTATGCCCAAGCTTCAGATCTGGACTCTAAGCCCACAGGCCTCCTTAGTGATGCAGAGGACCTCCTGTCACCTGCCAAATTGGTATGGTTTCACAATTCTGGGTTCCATTGGCATTTTCCTTTCAAAGAATTCTTCTGGGATGAAATAAGGATCACATGACGAAAGGATGTCCCTGTGTGAGCCGCTAGGGCCTGTGCTTTGACTTGTGTCTAATCGGCTGACTGGACAATCCCCTTCAAAGCTACTTTTCGGATACCAGTGCTACAGCTGTTGCCAACAGAGCTGCTTTGGCACTGCTACCCAGTGTGGGAGCCAAGATTAGGTGACAAGCTGTATGTGTCGTTTCCCCCAGCCCCCCTTTATAGTATCCCCCCACCCAAGGCGTCAACAGCAGTGTAGGAGCCGGATCGCTGATCTTTTTATACCCTTACTGTGTTCCCCCTTTGGCTATGATTTCTCTTCACCCAAGAGTCCACCTACCAAGTCTAGGCAGGGCTCCTGGCTCTCGGTCACCAGGGCTGTGGACTTAGGTGGCTGGGTCTGTGTGCTACCACTCCACCCTCCCATGGAGCTTTCTGCCATTCAGAGCGTGGACAGGGCTTGTGGTGACAAGAGTTGAAGGCAAGAAGGCCACCGCCCAGCCATGGAGTCACACCCCTCTGCAGTCTGTCTGCCAGGGCAGACAGGCCTAAGCTGGCCCCTCCTGGCAGCCTGGACATGGAGCTGTTCTCCTTGAGTCAAGTCCCTCTGGTTTTAATTGCTTTCATGTTTAATTTTATTTGCAAAGGTGTGAAATGAAGACATTAAAAAAGAGTAATGTATTCTTAAAACTTCTCTTCAGTCCAGGGGAAGGTTTTCCCTTTCTGTCTGCATTTGGGTGAAACTCCAGGCTATCATGCTGGGAAAGGCAGTCCCCTCTGGTCCTGTCACAACCTGTCTCCATCAGGACTTGGCAGACACCTGTTCCCATTAGAGCCATCTAGAATTGTCCATAGTCCCCCCCCCCCCCGTAACTCCAATACCCCAACACGTGAGAATTTTCCTCTCGTGAGTCAGCTTGGATGCTTGACCTGTACCTCTTGACTACAATATGGGAATTACTGACTCTGGTGCCCAGCTGCCCCCTGGCCTCTGTGCACAGAGTTCCAAACCAAAGCTCTTTCTTGGCTGCTACCACCTTGATTTGGCTACCAGTCACTTTTCTGTTGTTTCCATGACTCTATGGGCTATAAGGAAGCCTCAGGAAGGGGTAGGGCTAAGCCATTCTCCAGAGACCTGGAGTCCACCTGCAGGGATCTTTGACTGGAGTCTTCCTTATTCCATACCCTTGACCTGGGTGGGCCAGTAGTCCTGCAAGCACCACTCACCTTCATGGCCTCTGAAGAGTGGGAAGGGACTCATCTTCCTGGCCTTGAAATGTAGCTCTTTTCTTGTGTTGAAGGAGACCCATGAGACAGTCTAGACAATGGGCACCACCTGGGCTTACCTGGAACATTGTGTGTGACAATGAGAAGCTGTGGGCTACAGAACACCTGACAGTTTCTCCTAGTGGTCCTAGGGAATCCTGACTGGGCCAGGCAGGAACCACACCTGGGGACTGATCTTGTGAGATTTTAGAGCAAAAGAACCAGATCTGGGAGTTCTGAAAACCTAGGCTTAGCCACCAGTACCGCTGTAGCCATGGAGACCAGAAATGGTGAGAAGCAGAGAGCGGAGATTTAGTCAGTACACACTAAGAAAGGGAACGACTCAAGGGGTCTGGTGGCTTCAGGGCTATCTTTGGGATACTAACATGAGCTTTGAGTTTAAATGGAAGGATTGGGGCATGAGGTAAGCAAAGCTTGACAAGTGTGGTCTGGTTGGTGCTGCCTCAGTTCTGCAAAATGGTGGGAAGTCCTTACTCCTTGTGGGGACAAGGTGGTCTTCAGGAGCCCAGCTTCTTCATAATAATTGTTATCTGCAATCTCACTGAGACTGTTGGCCCTTGAGACCTTTAGCTTCCCTTGGGGTCTGGGTTAAGACACAACATGTTGACAGATCTTTGTGCCTTCAGGCTTGCAGGGGCTGAGATAGGTGTGCATCTCCAGCTTTCTATAGACAATGCTTGGGTGATTAGCATGCCTACATGCAAAACTAAGCCAGTGTCCTAAAATAAAGGAGATGTAAAATGAAGGTAGAGGTGCCAGGCCTTCATCCAAGTTCTCTTGGGGGCCTGGATGAGGAGTCCGTGTTTTTTTAGTTAAAACCTCAGTGCTTGCTATAATCGTATTTCGTGCCTAATTAAAATCCTATGGTATTTACAGTGATGGGGTAGACAGGCCTCTGTTTCTCTGAGTGGTGTCCTGGCCAATTGTAGCTTACATACACCTGTGGCTCCTTACCCTTACTAATCATTCTCGGGGCCCTGGATGGGCATGTGATTCTGCCATCCATACTGGGTAGCCCTAGGCAGCTGGAACCAATGGGACAACCCCTCCTCCCTTGCCTTGGGAGGAACCATGGGATTCCCCCCACGCCACCCTAATGTTTATGTGAAGAACCTGACTCTGCTCAGCTAGGATTTCTTCTGACACTGAAAGGGAAAGTGGCAGCCTTCACTCCTCCAGTGAGCATAGCAGAGCCGGACTTCACTGACACTGGTAGCTTCTCCTTAACTTTCTCCTGGGAGGGAAAGCAGGTCCCCCTCCACACATTTCCGGTGCACCTCCACCCACATTCCTTAGTGGCTGCTCCCCTGTGGTGGCAGCCCTGGCCACTTCTAATCACTCTGTCCCTTCTCTCCCCCACAGCTTCTCTGTTATCTGGTTTCCCTTTTAATTGTTACTGTCCCTTCCGGGCACTTCATTTTCAATGGCTACATTCCCTGTCCCCGTTGCTAATTCAGAGAGGCCCTGGGGTTGTAGCCCAGTCCCAGGTAAGAGCCTGCAGAATCTCTTCAGTAATTTACCTAATCCTTTAAAGCTGTGTCTCCAGTTTAAGATGTTTGCCTCTAGAAGTTCCTAATCAAGAAGTTAATCCCAGCTGGAGTCTCTGCCACATGCTTTGACCCTTATCTACTGGCAGGAAAAAGGCAGGCCTTATTGATGACTGGCACCTTGTTTTATTTAAGATACAAAGTGCAGCATTGCAAGATTTGCCCTGGGGTTGGCTGGCTGTTAGGGGTAACACCCCAGGGGCTGAATGACAGTTCCCTCCTTCCTGACGGTCTCTTATCTCCCAGTAGCTCTAGTTCTCTCTCCCTGCCTGTCCACCAGTGCAGTGGACCTTCTCTGGTGCTGAACTCAGATCTAGGTGACCATGTCTACTCACTAAGGACATTTTTCCTAGATGGTGGGCTCTCCAAGGACAGCTTGGAGAAGGCCAGCTCCAGGGCAGGTGGAACACACCTGCCCCTTCCTCCCTGCCCCTTTCCTTTTAGAACTTTACACAACAGGGACAAGACCCAGTTTCATGAGTACACATTCATATGCCTATATAGACACACATGTACCCATACAGAAATAGATATACATGCACAGGTAAGTACTCGCGCACACACACACACACACACACACACACACACACACACACACACACACACTCACTCTTGCCTCCTCTGAGTCCCATCTCTCCAGGCGTCCTTTCCCCTTCCCTCATCAATTTCTTCATGGCTTTTGCTGCTACAGGCCTTGAAGGTAGGGTTTTGCAGGCCAGGGCTACCAAGCAATGGCCAAACTATCTGTCACTCTTCAGTGCTGGCCTGGCATAGGCTTGAGTTTGGCAAATGGGTCAGGAGACAGGACTAGCTTCCTAGGGCCCTGGAGGTGAGCTTGGAAAGGAGACAAGCCCCCCACCCCCTGGTTCTATGGGCACTGGGCACTATGGATGGTAGTGCCAGGAGTCTACCAGGACAAAGGTGTTTGGAAAATATCCTTCAGGAAATAGGCACCGTGAAGAACTCTACAATCAGAGCTGGCACCTCAGCAAGCCAAACCCTCCCAAGTTACTCACCCAGTGGCCCTTAGACAAGTCTGTACTTCCTCATGCACACAGGCTACTAGACATGCTCAGGTGAAAGCTGCGGTGGCTTTGGCCATGCAGAGATCCTGTCTGAGGCTTAGGGACTGGTGTTTGAAGCCTTTGTTGACAGTCACTATGCCAGCACCTTTGCTGCACAGGCTTTGGTTTTTGACCTTGACAGATTATAAAGTGTGTTGTTATATTTTCAAGGGATTTTTACAGGAGCTGGTAGGGGAAGAAGCTGAAAGTATCAGCTGATTTCCTCTGAGCTTCATGGACCCTCAATACATGAAAAAAGCAATGGGTGCTAGACCACCCAGAGTCTGCTTCAGTGTTCATGCCCATGATAATGAATTTCACATGACCACATAGATCTCTCAAACCTGCTGCAGACCTAGCTTTGGGAGGAGCTCACAAAGCACACTTCTGGGCCCAGGCTCTACACTCATAGGCTCTGTCCTCAGAGAGGGATTAGGGATGAGCCAGCAGCTCCTACCTCAGTGGGCGCAGAGTCTCTCCTTGGAACCTTTGCTCTTCATGGATGGTCACAGACTGAACCACTTACAGGGCCAAAACTGCTTGTTGCAGTATTGATTAGTTGATCTCAGGGGTTCTCCTCTCCCCCAGAATTTAAAAGCTCTCCCATGCAGCTGTGCTTGCCAGTCTCTGCTCTGATAGAGAATACTGGGGAGCCTCAGGTGGTATTGTGTGCGTAGAATGTTCCCCAAACTGAGGTAAACAATACTGTTTACATCTTCTCACTTTCACACTCTGTGCACAGAGCTGGCAAGGCAGAACGTGAGTTCATTCCACATGGAGCCTCTGATGCTCAAAGTGTACTGGGAACTAGCACTCCATGAAGTCTGTCTGTGAAAGCAGCACTCCAGAGGCCTACCAATGGTCTGGGTGTGAGCATTCCTGGGGCCTGTGTATGGCTGTGAGCATTCATGAGGCCTGTATACAGGTGTGAACATCATGGGTGTAGGGCCTGATGGGGGGTCTTTCTACACCCGTGAGGCTTGTGTATGATGAAGATGCTATGTAACATGCTCCTTCCTCCCACTCCCCCCCCCCCCCCCCCCCCCCCCCCCCCCCCCCCCCCCCCCCCCCCCCCTGCCATGAGGAAGTCAAGAGTAGGAATGAAAGCGCAGATTTTGGTCCACTGACTCCTTTCTGCTAGGCAGAGATGTTTTGGCCTCTAAGTCTGAGGCCTCATAAATCCAGGTGAGAATAATGCTCTACAGGCAGAAGCTGTGTAGAGTAAACTGGAACCTTTCCAGTTGGGTGGCACGGGGTGACAGTTGGTGTATACTTTTTGTAATTATAAGACCTGATATCGGTTCACCCCACTTTGGGCTCAGATGTTTCTCCATCTTGATACACATGCATCTGACCTTGCCCTCTTATATGGGTTTTGTCTGCCTTTGGAGCATGTGCTGTCTTCAGATTTAAGTCTGATCAGGCGACCACTGAAGCTCTATGCAGCTGCAGGCTGACTGGTGAGGCCCTCCAAGGAGCCCAGGAAGAGTGATAGCTGAAAGCCATGGGCACAATCCTGCCTGGTCCCTGTGCAGGGGGACAGGGAGATCAGTCCTGAGCTATGTCACTCTCAGGGAGCTCCAAAGGCCACTGGGTCCTTCTGAGGTGCATGTCAGGATTGCTGCATCCTTCCATGAGAAAAGCCGGGCTTGTGCTGGCCCCAAGCCAGACCCTACAGCAGCACGATGGGGGAATATGAGCAGTGCTCTGTTACCTTTGACCTTTCCATATGCATGGCTGTGAAGGGCTCTTCCTAGCCATGTAAACCACAAACTTCTCCCCACACTGCTCACTGCATCCCCACATCTGGCTCTATGACACGAAGGATAATTTTGTCATCTAAGTTCTTTCCTGATATCCTTTCTAAACCTGGAGAAAAGCACCTTAGTGCCCCCCCCCATCATGGGGATCTTACTCTGGTTTATTCCATCCCTGCTACCTCTGTTCTCATCCACAAAGCCCCTCACCAATGAGAAAAGTGAGAGAATACAAATGGGAGCCATTCCCATTGTAGGTGTGGGAGGTGCTCTGCTGGGGGTCTGTGCTTTGGGGCCTGTCTGGCTGCCTCTTGCTTACAACAATCCTGTTGCTTACAACAGGCTTCCAGCCATCCTGTCACTGGCCCAGAATGGCCAGAGGGCTCGCATACACTTGTGTACAGTATGGGGACACCTGTGTACAGTGTGGGGCTACAGTGTACAGCCTATGCTTAGCCAGAAGACTTGTTTTACTAAGACAGTGTATGAAAACCAATGACAGGGGAAACTGAAGGCTGAAGACAACTGTGCTGGATGGTTCTATGTCAACTTGACCCAAACTAGAATCATCTGAAAGCAGGGAACCTCAATTGAGAAAATGCCCTCATAAGATTGGGCTGTACACAAGCCTATAAGGTATTTTCTTAATTAGTGACTGATTGGGGGCAGGGCAGCCCATTGTGGGTGGTGCTATCCCTGGGTTGGTGGTCCTGGGTTCTATAAGAAAGCAGACTGAGCAACCCAGGGCAAACAAACCATTAAGCAGCACTCTTCCATGGCCTCTGCCTTAGCTCCTGCCTCTGGGTTCCTGCCCTGTTTGAGTTCCTGTCCTGGCTTCCATAAATGATGGACTACAATGTGGAAATATAAGCCAAATAAACCCTTTCCTCCCCAACTTGCTTTTGGTCATGATGTTCATTGCAACAATAGAAATCCTGACTAAGACAGAAGTTGGTACCAAGATACTAGGGTGTTTCAGGGAGAGACCTGATTGTGTATTTTGGCGAGGATTGTGGAAAGAGTTTGGAACTTTTAACCAGAAAAGCCACTGAATGTTGAGATCTCAGTGAGATGTTCTGTAGGAGCTTGGAAGATAATTATGTTGAAGGCAATACAGACAATGGGGGCCTGGCCCGTGACGTTTCAGAGGGAAGTTTAAAGACCTATCAGTGTCATTTGTTACTTTGAACTAAGATTCGGGGTTCTGGTTATCTGGGGCTGAAGAATCAGCTGTGGTTAACAAGACACCAGAACTACTAAAGTGAAGCATTTGCTTTGCTGGGATGTTGGGTGCTGGTCAGCTGGAGCTGCGAAATTAGCGGTGATTAAGAAGAGACCAGCATTGTTGGTGAAATCTTCTGGGAAATGTTTCCTGAGAGTCAGCCACATGGAAGCCATGTTCCAGGCATGACCAAGGTTGTACCTTGTGCTGGCAGTAGAACTCGGTGTGGTGCAAGAGTCACCCAGGAGGTGTTAGTTTTGAAGGCACGAAGGGACATGGAGAGCAGCTGAGGCGGCTCTGTGTGACAGGGTTGGTGTCCCAGAAGAGAGCCCAGGAGAGGCCATTGGTAAAAATACAACCCAGCTGCAGCAGATGACCCTCACCAAGAACAGCAGCGATGGTGCTGAAGCCTGGAAGACAAACTGTGTGTGCTGCACAGGGCAGAGCTTGGAGAAGTGACCCAAGCCCTTTGGAGGAGCCACAGTTGAGAAATTTCAAACTTTAAAAGGGGATTTTGGATTTTTAAAAGTCTGGATATTTTAAAAAGGACTGAACTTTGAGTTTGTAAAGATGGTGGGACTTTTAAAGTTATTTATGTTTTTAATGTGAGATCTTGGGGATGAATGTGAAAGGAAGTTGATGTGTTTGTGTGTCAAGTAGACAAGGGGTCAATTGTGCTGGATAGTTTTATGTTAGCTTGACACAGCTAGAGTCATCTGAGAGGAGGGAACCTCGATTAAGAAAATGCCACTGTAAAATTGGCTGTAGGGCATTTTCTTAATTACTGATTCATGAAAGAGCACCTGGTGGTCCTGGGTTTTATAAGAAAGTGGGATGAGCAAGCCAGTAAACAGCACCCTTCATGGCTTCTGCATCAGCTCCTGCCTCCAGGATCTGCTTGAGTTCCTGTCCTCACTTCCTTCAGTGAGGGAATACAGTGTGGAAGTGTAAGCTAAATAAACCCTTTTCTCCCCAACTTGCTTTTGGTCATAGTGTTTCATGGAAGCAATAGAAACTCTAAGACAAGAACTCTGTGTCCTTGGACTGAAACTGGGCCACCTGGAATGTTCCTATCCTTCTACGTGCATTTTCTCAGGAAACGTGGGAGGCACCCTCTAACTAGCTATGGGTGACACGGATTTGCTTCTTCCTGAAGGTGGCCACACAGTCATGCACTGCAGTCAGGGATACTGCAGAAGCTGAGTCAGCAGAAGCTTCTCTCATTGCCATCCTTTCTGAGCAGGACTTCTAAGCAGTTCTGGCACTGAGGGAGCTACAGTGCAAGATCCTTGCTTCTGTGTTCCTGTCTGCAGGCTTGATTAAACAGGTAGTTTTTTTTTTTTTAAGAGGCCCCATGCTGTGCCAGTTAACTGTTGCCCTTCTTCTCTTTCCACAGGAATATTTCTATCCACGATACCAGGGTAAGTTAAAATTACTACTGTAGCTTCATTGTCATGCAGACAGTGGGTCTGCTTCATGTTGGAGAAATCCCATTAGCATGTTATTCCTGGGAGGAGGAAGCTGTGGGGGTAGAGCTATCGAGAGCACATGGGACAAAATATGAGTGTGTGGTTTTGTTTTTTTTTATACCATCATTTTATTCCAAGTTGCCTGAGCCCCAGACTAACACTGCTCTTTGCAGATATCATCTTTGATTTTAGGCTATATCCACATCTGGAAGTATGGTTAATTGAGTACCCTCAAACTTTCTGGTGTTGGGCGACTGTACTTCTGAGATTATAAGGGACCCCTCCCCTAAATCTTGCTCCTGTGTGTTGTGTTTATCAACATTTGTTCTATTATCAGCTAAAACTTAGAACCTTGCACAAGGTTTTTTACATAGTTTGATGAACAGGAACACACACATATTCTCAGTCACTGTAGTGGGGCACATAATGGCATGGGAAATGTCAAATACTCTTACAGGAGAAACAAAAAAAAAATATGGTTGTAGTCTGGAGGACAGTTACTTTGCTCCCTCAAGAAACCAAAATTCTCTGAGTGCTGGTTGGTTAACACCCAAAGTACTTCGGGTGTATATTGCTTATAAGAAGAGTGTGTTCTCGGTCTTTGGACTCGTCATCACATTTGGGTAAGATGCTGGCCTTCCGTTCTAGAGGCACCTGCTTGTAATCTGTATCAAGCAATAACACAGAGGACCGGTGACTTGCCTGCTGTGACTCGCAGCCTCGGGTACCAGAATCTTAGCTAGGGGGAGACAGGGAAACAGAGAAAGGACAGACACAATTACAGTCAAGGCAAAAACCTCAGAACCTCAGTGCATTTATTATGTACAACACAAAGGGAGGGGCTGCCTAGTCTTAGTAGGCCTCTGTAGGTGAGCTAGTAGAGGATGCTAGTCCTTTGTACACACTGGTCAATTGTTCGTAAGCACTCATTTTCAAGGAAAGCTTTGGCATTTCTCTTGATCCTGGCCCATATGGGCAATGGCTTTGCCAATTTCTCATGGATCAATTGGAGTCCTTGGCAAGCTTTACTCATATCAAAATACACATTCACTCAGGACTTTACTCATTCAGACCTACCTCTGATCCTTATACTACCCAAAACCCTTGGGCTTTTCTAGTGCCAAAACAGAGGAAGGTGGCTATCCCATCCCTCATCCTGACTATACTTTCACTGTCCACACTGTCTTCTCACATGTGGACAAGCAACAGTGACCTCCTAAAGGACCAGATAGAGTGGCTGAACACCATCATACACAGTCATCACGTACTGTATGTGTTCCAATGCTGTGTTTCTGGCTCCCTTGTGGAACACACGTGAATGCCAGGTCTAGTGCCCTACAGACTTAAGGGGGACCTAAAGAGCACTTCTACTTTCAGACTAAGGACCATGCTTCCTGCCCAGACCATTGTGATCTTGACGTTCAGTTCCTTGGCCAGAGTCCGACTGTGATAAAGTTCTTGGTGTTCTGTGTTGATGGGAGGTCCCTGCAGTCACCCATTCTGGAGTTGGTGTTCTCTCACACTGGGGGCACCTTCCTGCTGCCACCACCATGTGCTTTTATACTGACAGCTAGGCCATCCACTCAGTGAAGATCCACGTGTCCAGGCGAAAAGAAACTGTCACTTACCACTGATTTGGACCCCTACCTCAGGGATGACAAGTGACCATGTTGTCTGTTTCTTTCTTTCTTTCAGAATGCCTGAGGAAATATGGCAAGCCTGAAGATAAAAACCCAAATTTTGCACCTTGCGTTCAGAGTAAGTGCCCCCCTCCTATGTCATACCGGGTAGCTGTGGCTCAGCTGTGGTTGGGATAAAACTGCTGAGTGAATATTCCATCAGCCTGAGAAATTGTCAGGCCCTCCAGGAGTCTATTCCTTGCACACTGAACTTTCTCTTAAAGTACATCTTGCTTATGTTTTTAAAATGAGCAATAAATGTACTTGTTGTAGAAGGTTAACTATTTCATAGGGTGTGACGTGTACCCCTAACTCTCATCTTGCAGGCAAGGCCATCTTCCAGCTCTCTGTTTGTTCCTAGAAGTACAGATATGTCTCTTGCATACTTGTGTCACCCCCATCCCTAATTGCTCCCATGTCTGGAGTCCCTTCCAGGGCAAGGGCCCGCACAGCTCCCAGCAGATGTCAGCCACCTCGGCTCAGCTTAGCCCAGGCAGGTTGATCAGGTGTGAGGTTATTTTGTTTCTGTTATTACAGAAGCAGAACGATGTCTTCTGCATCTGTCCACAGTTCTGGTTCCTAAGAAGGGTTCAGAGACAAACCCACATCCATATTTCCCTTTGAGAATGGCTTCTGTAACTTAGGTGTTCCTTTCCTGTTGGCAAAGCTTCCATTTTTGTCACTGTTTTGTTGTTTTTAGGTTAGTTTTGCACCTCTCTCCTTAGTTTAGTTCTTGACACTTGCACTATCAAGCATGGTAATTTCTTTCCTTATATTCTCTAGTTTGTTGGGACACATGATAGGTTGGTCCGTTGACCCTGGACATTAACCTTTGCTCCCAGTGCTCTGTGAAGTTATTCTATTGCTTTGGTTGGTGGCTGATATTGTAGTTTCAGAGCCTCTTTAGATGTTTTGAATTACAATGACACCCTCTGGGTGGGACTTGAGATTCTGCACACCCCCCATGGTGGTAGGTGGCCTGGAAGATGGGAATTAGAGTGTACCCACCCCCGAACCTGTCCCAGAGCTGATTAGATGATAAACCTGTGTCTTCTGGTGCCAAATATGTTAAACCCATGTGTCAGATGCCTTGCCTCAGGGCAGAGGCTTTGCCAATGTCCCTGACACATAGCTATGTCCTGCCTGGCACTGCTCATCACAGATTCCAATGATCATGCGCCTGAGCTGTCATTGTCTATCCCCTCATGGTGACTGTACAAAAGTGCCTCGATGACCCACATATCCTTCTACTGAACCATGGAAAAACAGGGCGACAAGCCAAGCCCACCAGCTAGGCAGGCTGTTGCCCTTTGTACCCCGTTCTTTACCTCAATGCCCATGATATGTCATAGCTTGAATACTCTTGAATACCCATTTTTGTTAAAAAAAAAATTAAAGCAAAAGTCTTGCAGGTCCCATTCTGGCATTTCCTAGAGAGCTTAGATGTCACCTTAGACAAGCCTTTGCCCTAACAGGCCTTCTGGGAGCCCAGTACCTTATGGGGGTTGATCATGATGCCAACAGCAACTAGAGTGACAAGAGAGAAGCCATAGACTAAGCATGGCCTGTTCTCTCTTGATACCAGGAAAAGCTTTGACGTCCATTTCTTTCCTTTCTTATAAACCATTCCAGCTTCCCCACCATGTCCAATGGGATCTTCTGACAAACATGCTTCCAAGAAGGTTGATTCCCCACACCATACATCGGGCAGGGGTAGATGAGTTAGGTTAGCAGGGGTCCTTTATGGGCCCAGAGCTAAGGGTCTAGATTGGACAGGTCTGCTGCCCAGGACCTAACTTGCCACCTGGAGAGCCAGATCACACTTTATACCCCACCTACAGCCATGCAAAAAGCCAGGATAGACTGTTAAGAATAACAGATCTCTACATGGTCTATAGAAAGAGTTCTAGGACAGCCAGGACTATACAGAGAAACCTGTGTAGAGGAGAGGGGAGGGAAAAAGAGGGGAGGGAAGGGGAGGGAAGGGGAGGGGAGGAGGATAGAACCTACCTGGGGAATAGCTACCTAGGCACCACAGTGCCTGCAAAACTGCCCATTCTTTTACCTTTCGGGAATGTATCAGTCTCGCTGCAGAAATCTCTGGGCACCTGCCAAAGGTCAAACATTGGACTTGGTAAATTTCCAACAGGAAAAGAAATGATGTGTAGTAGATGGTATTCCTCTAGGGGCAGAGGGACAAGGGTTGTGGTGTTGACTCTGTGTTGGGGGACTCTTAAAAATAACATTACCCCATTGGAAGTTGGTACTGCACCATACCTCAGCCTAAGGACAAATTTTGCAAGGGCGGCTGTGGCATTCTTGGCCAAGTTAACCAGCCCTAGTGCCAAATTTGCTAGTGCATACTTTAGAAACAAATTTAACCCTCCAACCGGACACTTAAGTGTACTGGACACCGTATTCTGGCTTCAGGTGGGCTCCCATGAGTCCACAGCACTTGTGGAACAATAAGGCCCTCCAATCTTAACCCCTAATTTATAGGCCACTCTGACTTTCCCCAGCCCCTACATGCTTAAAGAAAAAATGGCATTTTATAATGATTTGCCAGAAACTTCTCTGCGAGAGTGTCAAGAATATTTGAAGACTCACAGGCATGCTGTTGGCTATAGTTTGTGCAAACCCAGCAGACTTTGGATGTAAACGTGGAAAGACCACAGGGAGAAAAAAAGGCAAGCAAAGTAGATCGCAGAGCTTCCCTGAGAAGCCTAGACTTGCTTCCCAGGCCTGCTGTGGGCTCGGCACCTAGCCCAGCCTGGCCCGGTACAAGTAGGAGCTGCCAGCAGTGAGGCTGACCTGAAAACCCTGGATGAGCAAAGGAATGCATCTGGGAAATCCAGAGGTTGGCTGCTGCCTCATCTTATGCCAGGTCCTCCCCCGTTCCTGCCAGGCAGCGAGAACCGTCTTTGTCTAGAGTTCAGGTGTGGGAAACAGGAGAGGCCTGTGGGGAGGGCCCCCAAGAACAGAGAAAACACTGGTGTGGGTAACCTGGAAGACTTTTGACATCCTGCCAGGATGGCCTCCAGGAGACATTGGCCAGTGCTCCCAATGCTCTTCTGGCTTGGCCTGAAACTGTTCCTGTAAATCAAAAAGGAACAAATGCTGGCATCAGACCTATGTTGGCATCGAGTACGATAGGGATGCCCAAGAGTCAAAGTCCAAGATGTGAATTGTCATGAGACTCAAAATGGCCGCTCACCAACTGAAAGCAGGAGGGGGAGGGAGAGAGAGAGAGAGAGAGAGAGAGAGAGAGAGAGAGAGAGAGAGAGAGAGGGGGTGTCCCTCTCTCTCTCGCTCTCGCTGTGTGTGTGTGTGTGTATGAGAGAGAGAGAGAGAGAGAGAGAGAGAGAGAGAGAGAGAGAGAGAGAGAGAGGATGACTGAATTCATATCTCATAGCTGCTTCCTCAAAGAGGGTCAGCTCAGCCTCCTCCTGGTCCTCAGCTTGGTCTCAGCTTTTCATGTACTGCAGAGGGCCCACCTAACCCAGAACTTCCATTGGAACCCAGGGAGTGCAACATCATCTGCAGGCGTGAGGCATGGGCTGGTGTTGAGAGATACAAGTGTGGCTATGCTCTAGGAGTGCTGAACTACACTTAGCCCTGCCCTTCGGTGCAGATCTGAGAGTCGGGTGGCCAGATGACAGTGACCACTCTCGAGGGCAGGAGGGAAATAGGGTTGATTAGCCTCATCCAGTCAAAACCCTGGCTATGCTGTTTGGATTCATCTGCATTTCATATCTTCTATCAGTGAAAATCTAGAGCCAGTCTTTGGTCAGACGCTGGGCAGGGCAGACTAACATCAAGGAAGCAGAGGAGCATCAAGATGTTTAATGGAAGTGGCAAAATACCTCCTAGCAATGGGATGCCAGTCCTAGTAGGACACCAGTCTGCATCTGTCTAAGCAGGTGGAGCATGACCAGAACTAGGAAGTGACACCCCTTGAGAGAGTCTCATGTGTCTCTAGAATCTCTAGGATAGCAGTTTTCAACTTGTGGGTTGCAACCCCTTTGGGGGTCAAAAGATTGTTTCACAGGGGTCACCTAAGACCATCAGGAAATGAGACATTTACATTAGGATTCATAATAGTAGCAAAATTACAGTTAATGAAGTAACAACAAAATTAATTTTATGGTTGAGGGATCACCACAACACGAGAAACTGTATTAAAGGGTCACAGTATTAGGAAGGTTAAAAACTGCTGCTCTAGAACTATCTAACTGTTGGTAAGTAGGAGCCACCCCACCACCTACCCCTTACAGGCAGACTGTAGAGCCTTCAGATGGGGCAGGATGAAGGGCCCAGGCCTCCTATGTTCTGGGTCAAGCCCGCATCTATTCAACCTCTGAAAGGATTCTTCGATAGCGGGATATAATAATAGTTTTCTGTGACTTCCCTCACCTGGAGATTGAAGCAAATGCCAAGCTTTCCCACCCCCACCCAAGGCATAGTTAAGGCTGTGTCTGGAGGTCTCAGCTGTGTCTCTAAGGTACTCCATGGAGAGCAGTTAACATTGTGCCAGCCTATAAGCCAAAGGCTGAAGCTATGTGGCTCAGTCACCTGTGTCCTGTTCAGCTGGTCACTGCACACCTGACTTGATGCTTTAGTGCTGGGCTTCTGCTTGCTTGTTGGCAGGGCTGGTGTATGAAAAGAGCCCTCCTGCCCATGAAGTGGGCTCCACCAATTCTGCTCTGTGGAGAGAATGTGCCCCAGCCCTTCTAGGGGAACTAGGAGACCCATTCCCTGGGAGGCCTGAACCAGAAGTTCCTCTTTGCCTGGCCCAGTGACAGTCGCACACACCCACCCCCCAGTAGACCTGGGTGGAGTGACTGGAAATGGTCCCAGTGCCTTGAAAGTTCCTTACATTTGTTCCTGTCCCAAGGTGGGAACCTCCATCACAGCTTAGCCTGCTCTGACCACCCCCAACTATGTGAGGTAGGGCTTTCAGAGAAATCCTGACTGACTTTCAATTTTGTATCCCCAACTCAGACTTGCCTGACCAGTGCACCCCAAACCCTTGTGATAAGAAGGGCACTCAACTCTGTCAAGACCTCATGGGCAACTTCTACTGCCTGTGCAAAGCTGGCTGGGAAGGCCGGCTCTGTAACAAAGGTGAGAGTCCACAGCCTCACCCTCTCTCTGTCCCACCCACTCCTCACCCCCTACCCATGACTGGGAGCCCAGCAGTTCTTATGGTCTGTCCTGGGATAAGGACCTGATGGACACCCCTCTTGGGAACCCTTTGCAGGCCCAGGGTTGAATGCAGTAGCCCTGCATTTAAAGCTCCCAAATGCAACAGCCCTGTGGGTCACTGGAGCTGTAGGCTCCTAGAGAGTTGAGACAGACAGAGAGCTGTTTTGGGCCAGGATTGAAAAGAAGGAAATGCCACATGAGTCTTAGCGCCTCAGCTAAGGGGCCCCACCTTGATTTACTCAGGTGCAGGTGTGAGGCATTAGGTAAAGCTACAAACAGGATAGCAGGACCTGCCCAGCCCTTCACCCAGGACAGCCAAGCTGCGTTCACAGGTCATCTGGATGGTTCTATCCACAGACTAGGTTGTGTGAAGGTCTCATGGCTGCTGAGCAATGATTGGTGGGTCCGTTTTGTCCTCCACCCTGTCTCTTATCACCTAGGGACCTTCAGAACTGAGTCTGTAGCTGTCCCCACCAGTAGCAGTTCATATCTCTCTGGCCCTCACACTGTCTACCTTATCCACATGAGGCCAGCAGGGAAGTATCCAGGTAGGAGCCCCTTGCTGTTTCTTCATGTCCAGATGTCAATGAGTGTGCCCAGAAGAATGGGGGCTGTAGCCAGGTCTGCCACAACAAGCCAGGAAGCTTCCAATGTGCCTGCCATAGCGGCTTCTCACTTGCCTCAGATGGCAGGAATTGCCAAGGTAAGTCCCTGGCTGAGCCGTTCCACCTCCCCTACCTCCCTATCCTGGGAAGGGAAAGAGCATCCTTTGGAAATATGAGCACCCTTTGGAGATGGTCAAGTTCAGCCTTGTGGACACGAGTCCCCATGAGAGCAAGGACAAGGACTGGAGATGCCCACCCACACTAGTGTTTTCAGGTACCTTCCAGCCCATGGAGCCTGCAAAACAGCCTTTGTGGTCACCAGGCTTAGATCTCTGCCACTGACTACAGGGAACTCAGCAAGATGGCAAGCCCCAGGACCCCTGTGCACCTACCATACCTTCCAGACCCTCCCAGCACAGACTGCCTCTTCCCTAGCCCCAAGAACACAGAAGCAGATGGGTCCTCCCCATTTCCACTCAGCCCAGAGAAGGGAGCCTGAGAACACCCAAAAAATCACCCCAAAAGTGCATGTTTCACCTTGTCCCCCTGTGCTGATCTAGGGTATAGAGGAATAGCATTCAACCTTGCTCCAACACAGATGTGCCCTAAGTGAGGACTGGGCCCCAGCAGCCTATGTGGTCCAGATGGCCCCAGGGGGCGGGGTCAACTCAGAATCTGGGCACAAGCCTGATGAGACAAATGACTTTTTCCCTCACCCATTTTGAAAAAAAAAATAAAGTTTTTATTTTCATCTACCTCAGAGTTCACCTCTGACAGTCCCAATGAATATTCTTAGGTGTGATTGATGGGGACACTCAGCCACTGTGCCCTCGTACCTTTTTGAAATGTACGGAAAATGCATATGGGAATGTATAGGCTTCCCCTCCTAAGCCCTTATTTCAGGAACAGAGGCCCTCTCATTGTGCCTCTTGTCCTTGGCCTTGACCAAGGGACACAGCCCCACACTTTAGCAGCAGGTTGAGGAGACCTGCCTTGCTTTGTGGACCCTGAGCAATGAAGTCTACTGTGTACCCAGTGTGGGGTGAGCAGCATGTGTTCCCTGGGCCCACCATCACTTGACACCCACAGTGAAGGCATCGTGCCTTCCTCCTCCTGTTCTCCACCCTCCTGTCTTGGGGCTGTTCTTGCCCTCTATCCCCAGTGGTCACTGCAGCTGTCCCAGACGGACCTGTACAGCCTTGGCCTGGCTGGCTTTGCTTGCAGATGTAGATGAGTGTGCAGACCTGAACACCTGTGGGGATGCACGCTGCAAGAACTTGCCGGGTTCCTACTCCTGCCTCTGTGACAAGGGATACACATACAGCTCCCAAGAGAAGGCCTGCCAAGGTACCTATGCTGCAGCCACCCAGGTTCCTTCCTCCTTTGACCCTTAGCCTAGGACACAGGTGATCACTGCCTGAATGTGGGCTGCATTGCTCTATTGCTGGCAACCAGTGGTCCAACGTTCCAGGAAGTCATTGTACACACCACATGAAGGTTGACCTCCTGGGAGTCTCTGTACCTTCATTGAAGGTGACCCCTCAAGTCAGTCCTCTGTCTCTTCCCTTTTTCCTGTCCCCATTGTGTCCCTACATGTATGCTCACACACAAGGCTCTCCTACACATGAATGTGTTCCAGTGTGTACTCAAATGATGACACACTTGTGTGTTTACCCTTCTCCAGCCTTCAGTAGAGTATGTAAAGATCCAGAATTCTTTGGTAGACTTGGGTTTCTTCCCAGCCCACTGTGTCCCTGCAGTAGATGGGGAACAATTGACTCATTCTGTCACTTCAGAGGCTTACCATGTCCTGAAGGCAGAGACTGTCTCCTTCTATAATCACACCTTTCTGGGAGCTACAAAGGACTCTGAGAGATAGCTGTGGGAGCCCTGGAGGAAAACTGAGCCCCCAGGGAAGGGAGCTTGGAGCTAAGGGTTCACAAGGGTCCTGCCCTGCACAATTCTCCACAGCCCACACAGACACTCTTGGTCCCTCCATCCCTGAGCCAGTCTGAGCATGGTCCTTGGACATCCTCAGCTCTTCATTTCTCTCTAGGAAGCAGGGACCTAAGAGACAGACATCTGAGGTAGCAGGCTGAGCAGTGATGTCTACATGTCTTTGGGAAGAGTAAGTGGGTTTGCTCAGTGTTGGAGTTTTCCCAGTGCCTACCATGAGTCCCTTTGCCGGCAGATGTGGACGAGTGCCAGCAGGGACGCTGTGAGCAAACCTGTGTCAACTCCCCAGGCAGCTACACCTGCCACTGTGATGGGCGTGGGGGCCTAAAGCTGTCCCCAGATATGGATACTTGTGAGGTAGGTGACCCTAGTGCCCACTAGATGGCCTTGTGGAGCCCCAGTGCTGTGCTTTGTATAGGTCCCTTTGCTACTAACAGGTTGTGGGAGAAAAGTTTCTGGAGACTTGGTTGACTGAAAGCTCCTAGCTCTCAGGGCCACACAGCTAGCCAAACTCTTGTTTGGTTGTGTTGATGAAATCTCCATAGCAACACCCACTCATAGCCACGTAGCCTGATGGTGCAGACCCAAGGTGAAATGTGTTCACACCAGGACACACACACACACACACACACACACACACACACACACACACACACACACACACACACACACACCCCGTTCACTCAGGGCTCTGTATCAAGCTAAATAAACTGCAGAGAAGTTGTACATTGTTGGCATTTTCTGGAAAACAACAGCAAGTGACCACATATGGTGACTTTGCAAGTCACAGACCTAGGAAGCTGGAGAAGCATTTTTTCAATTATGAGCCTGAAGCCCAAGTCATCTAGGTACTTTGTGAGGCTCCCATTTCATGAGCTAGTGCCCTTCTGAGGGGATAGGGGACCCACACTTGTGTGGTTTCTACCTCAGGCTCCCTGCTGGCCTGTGTGGAAGTGTAGAATCCTTCTGTCCCTCACCCCCTGGAAGTCAGCTCAACCTGCTTTAATTACATCCTGTCTCTGGTCAGTGGGAAAGCCTACACCATAAATCAGGGAAGTTTCTTCAACCATAGTCTTCAAGGCCTTTGTGTTCTGTTCATTTTGTTAATAGCATACTAAAAATGAATTTTTGTGAGTCCCTGCTCTTCTGTGAGTTTGAAGCATTTCATAATTTAAACACTTGCAAATAATAACAGGCAAGGAAGAAGCAGTTGATAGACAATTCACAACCCTGGGCCTCCGCCTGGGGGCACCAGCGTAGGATGGGTCATTTGACTCTGGGATTTCCAGGGGTAGGCTAGCCTTGAGATCTCCCCAATATGACCAGGACCTCAAAGTTGTTTAAAAGGCAGCCACAGGGCATCCCCCGCCCCAACACCTTCCTATCTCATGGCAGGACATCTTACCATGTGTGCCCTTCGCCATGGCCAAGAGTGTGAAGTCCTTGTACCTGGGCCGCATGTTCAGCGGTACCCCGGTGATCAGACTACGCTTCAAGAGGCTTCAACCCACCAGGTAAGAGCCAGGAACACAGCACAGCTGAGCCCAGGCGAGAAAACTGATCTAGGGCTCCTACTTTCCAGGAGCCCAAAGCCACTCAAGATCTCTGAGTGAACCAGCTCCCCATGTTCTGGAAAGTGTCACAGGGGTCAGGACCCTGGGACTAGCCAGCCCTGTTACCACCTGCACTCTGTGCCCCAGGTTGTTTCTTGGGTCTGTTTACAGGCTGCTGGCTGAGTTTGACTTCCGAACTTTTGACCCTGAAGGAGTCCTCTTCTTTGCTGGAGGCCGTTCAGATAGCACCTGGATTGTACTGGGCCTAAGGGCTGGGCGGCTTGAGTTGCAGCTTCGGTACAATGGTGTTGGGCGCATCACCAGCAGTGGGCCAATCATCAACCATGGCATGTGGCAGACGGTAAGTGGAAAGCCAAGGATATCCCTAGCATTTGGCGTTGGATGTGGCCGGTGGGTAGGATGCCTGCTCTAGTTAGCCCAGAGCTGCTGCTGCTTTGGCTGAGTGTGGCTTTACTCAGAAAGGCCTTCCTATGAGAGTGATAACTGCATGAAGATGCCCAAACATTGCAGGACACCAGAAGGGGATAGATAACCAGTAAAAATCACCCATGAACAAGAGCCAATGAGACCAGAGTCCTCTGTTCATCTGATCACAGGGAAGCCTTCTGCCCCCAGCTCTGTATGCTTTCCCCACTGGAGCTAGGGTGATGGACAATGACCTACTCAGGAACCACATCCTATATCCTAGGCAACAGGCTTGGGGAATTAATGTTTGGAAGAAAAACAGAATGACGTGGTTTTTCCCTTAGCTGTGAAGACAAATGAAAAAATCCATGTTCCACTTTGCAGACAAATATGGCCCCCCTGCCATTTCTCCAGCTACCAAGTGCTGTCTGTTCTTCCTGGCTTTGAGGGATCAGAGTCTCCATAGCAGAACAGGGGAGGGTCTGCAAGGAAAGAAGGAGCTCTGGGAGAAGGTGCCCTCTACACAGCCATGGGGACAAGCCTGGACTAGCACCCAGGCAGGACTGCAGGCTGGGAGCAGTCATTGTGAGATGGTACTGTCTAGGTGGCAACTCATATACCCTGAACTCACGGGTCAGTGACAGACATCCCAGGAGGCCAAATTATGCCCCTTTCAGTGTTCCCTGCCCAGCCATTCATAACTCTTCTGGCAGATGCAGGGGGACACTAACTATTCCTCCACCTCAGCTAAAAAGGATCCCGATGTTCTGGAAGACAGGGACCATGCCATGTTTAATGTACATTCCCACACAGACTTCAAGGCTCTACATGGAAAGTTTCTGAGGAATTGGCTTGATCATTCAGCCTCACTCCATCCTAGAGTTAAGAAAAAAAAATCAAGTATGTATGTTGTTCCAACTACAGCACTGGTGTGGGGAGAGCCATGATACAGACAGCTCACTAACTGATCGGATACTCCAGGGCCAAGGATGTGCAAAGGAAGCAGGCGTTAGGACCTGGAACACCTTGTAAAAGCAGAGAGGTTGCATAGGCCACAGAGGTGTGGTGGTTGTAGGGTCTTTTTTAGGCTGCAGAGGCAGGAGGTTGAGGAGACACACCAATGGGAGACCCAGAGTGAACTGGCTTTCAGACCTAGTCTTCACTGAGGAAATGTCAGGGTATGTCTCTTCTCTACCATATCTGTCCCATTCTCCTTGGACCATTATGGACACCTAGCCACAGTTAGCTGTGCTGGCCATCTGGCTGCCAGGCCAGGTGAACATTCAAGCTGGGCTCTGTGCTGGATGTCAGACCACCTGACACTTCGATAGTAAGCAAGCTCATCACCTGCTTAATCCTTTCTCACAGAGTGGAGACCACACCTTCAGTAAAATGCATGTTTGTATGCCCAGCACAGCATCTGCCACTGTGGTCACCTTGGGTGTAGCCAAAAGTGCATCACCCACTTCAGGGATGCAAGTCTCCCAGAGTGGGGTTCTCCTAGGAAAGGTTATTTCATGGATCCCAGAGTCAGCTATGGTACTGCTGGACAGAAACTCATCATCTTCGTGACACTTGGTGAGGGGCGGCCTAGACAGCAGAAGACCCATTGCAACATCAGATAACAGCCCAGGGCTTATAGCACTGATGTAGGACTGTGGCCTGTCCAGGGCATGCTGATAACCCTCCTGCCCACAGTAATCATACTTGCTGGGGTCAAACTGAGAGGCTGAACTTGTTTAACCGTGGAACTTTAGCTTGGTAACAAATCTATGCAGAAGCCAAGGTCATGGCATCCTTTACAATATAGTCTGTGGTACAGGACATGGGGCCTGGGGTGCAGCTGTTGGCTGTACAAACCTTCACTTGGCTGTTATCTGATACTGTGTTTGCGTCCCATGTGAGGAGAGTTCAAACATAGAACTCATGTTAGGCTCTGACCCAGTGTTTGGCTGGATTCATATTCCACTTTGAGGCCTTGGAGTTCCTCGCACAGACACACAAGCCACTGAGGGCAGCACTCCATGCCAGTCCAGTGTCCAGGGTCGCAGGCTTGAAGAACGTCTAGGAACGAGCAAACAGATCTTATCTCACTTTGTTCAAGACAAGTTAGGTTGCAGTTAAAGTGCTATGCTTGACTCAGAGCAGGCACCATAAACTGCCAGGCTGCAGTTTCTTGTGAGGTTCGTGCCACATCAGACATGGCTATCTGGTTCTTTTAAACCACAATAAGCATCAATAGTTCCTTTCTATGACTGTCTTCTAGAATAAATTGGGTGTGGTGTTGCTTTAATTTTAATTCCAAATGTGTGGGAAAGGCTAGCCCTCTTCACATGATGGATCTTGTCTCCACTTTGAAACCTGACCTGTGAGCTCACAAAGGGAGCCACAGTAGTGACTCTGAGCAAGGAAGGGTGTGTGGAGAACTCACACAGGTGAGTGAACATAGCCTTCTAACAAGGTTTAATTCCTCCTGGACACAAGGGAAATGGGTGTTGTCTTGTGAGGTCAGGCTCTTCCTGGACCAGATTACTTGGATGTTGTTTTTCCTGAAGTCTGGTGCCCTTGGTCTAGGTGACATGGGTATAGTCTGTTGGCTTGGGCTGTTAGACACAAGTAACATGGCATGCCTACCCTGAGGTGCAGTGTGTGGTGCACTGGAGACAGGTGATACACTATGGGGGCCTTCCAGAAATATCCATTCACTTGACCTCCATCCTTTGACCCCTTCAGATCTCTGTGGAGGAGCTGGAACGCAACCTTGTAATCAAAGTCAACAAAGATGCTGTGATGAAGATTGCAGTAGCTGGGGAGCTGTTCCAGCTGGAGAGAGGCCTATATCACCTGAATCTCACTGTGGGTGGCATTCCCTTCAAGGAGAATGACCTTGTCCAGCCCGTAAGTCCAGTCCTGACTATGGAGAATAATGCAGCAAGCTCAGGTTTGGCTGTGCCTTAGAGGGGTTTGCCCGAGTCTGACAATCATGAGAGGCCCCGTGCCGGCAGCCAGCCATTGTCCATCAATAACTAATCACTTCTGCTTATGATGCCCATTTAAGTTTTCATTTTTGTAGTAAAGATTGAACATCTTACTTTGGGTTGTTAGCCATGCCCAGATTTCCTATGGGAGAAAGTCCAAGTGGGAGGCTTCTTTTTTTTTCTTAATCACTTTTCAAAGTCCTGTTGTTTTCTGTCCTACCTCACACCTGGCCTTTGTACCCCACTGGTCAGAACCCTCGTTTTGGGGTGGCAGCATCCACTGCAGATGGAAACATGTTTGGTAATTGATTGACTCAGTCACCACCATTCAGTAGAGCCCTAAGGGGATGAAAACAACAAATGCACCATTGCAGATCTTCAACACATAAGATGAGGGTAATCTGCTTGGGTTATATAACAGTCTGCACACAGTGAGTGCACAATCATGGGGTGACCTGACTGGATTATATAACAGCCTTGCATACAGTGTGTGTGTGGTCATAGGGTGACCTGGTTTGACTACACAACAGCCTTACACATAGTGAGTGCATGATCAAGCTGGGACTGGCATCCCTGGCCTGACTTTTTAAGCTTTGCTTTGTAAACTCAAGTAAGGGGAAAACACCACCACAGTAAAGCACCCTGACCTTTTTGCAGTAAGGTGGCAGGTACTTTGTCCCTCTACTCACAATGAGGAGACCCGGCAGACAGAGCAGGTGGCTCTGTGAAGAGCTCTTTTGTGGAGGAAAAAGAAAAAACCCTCCCTATATTGTTTTTGCATTCTAGATTTACACACACATAAGCCAGAGGGCCCTGCTAGCAGGTTCTGTAGTGCCAGGCTCTCGACCTCTCCTGCTCTAGTCTGCTGTTATGGTGTCCTGGCTCAGGAAGCCACCAGCAGTTATCTGTCTTTCCAGATTAACCCTCGCTTGGATGGATGCATGAGGAGCTGGAACTGGCTGAATGGGGAAGATAGTGCGATCCAGGAAACAGTAAAGGCAAATACAAAGATGCAGTGCTTCTCTGTGACTGAGCGGGGTTCCTTCTTCCCTGGGAATGCATTCGCCTTCTACAGCCTCAACTACAGTAAGTGGGTGGCACCCTACTTGGGGCTAGCTGTGGTGGGATTTCCAGCTATATGGGCAAGTGTAAGCATCCATCTAAATGGTTCCTACCTCAGTGACAAGCTGGTTACCCACAGCTGGGACAGGGCTCAGCAGGGAAGGCAAGGTCCAGCTCCAGGACAACTACCTGGACTTCACATAGTTATCCATGGGGACATGGTCCAATGGTTAGAAAGTGGTAGGATGGGCAGGCCTGGGGGGAAGGGGGCTACCTGGAAAAAATCGAGGACATGTCCAGATCATGTGACAATTCTCACTAGTGTGCCAGGCCTTCACTGGCCAGTGACTTCATGAGGCTTAGCAATTAAAGGTGGTTTAGAGGAGCTAAGATCATGAAGACAGGAAAGCCAGTCTTTATTACCCTTGGAAGAGGTCCATGTGGAGAGAAAGCAGGAAGGGGTCTGGCAAAAGTATGTTCTGCTGTACTTCTCAAGGCCATGGTAGAGGAGGGAAGATGTATAAGATCTGCATCTCTTTGCTGAGTGGGCATACCAGTGCTGGAACCTATGGCCACCTGGCATGGGCCAGGAGGCAGAAGGTTGGACGGTCAGGTCTAAACTTCTTTAAAGCAGAACCCATAACTTCTTAAGTTATAGCAGTCATTGAGGGTCATTTGTGGCCCTTCAACCTCATCTGTGAGGGCTAGAAAACTCTCCATACAGGCAGGGTCTGGTGTCTTTATCAAACACTTTCCAGGTAGAATACACTTGGCCTCTTCCACCACAACAAAGTGTTTTTATTACTTTTTTTGTAATTTGTGTTCATATACTCAACACACTGAGAATTAACCCCTATAGATGTCAGTTAGGACAGGGTAAAGGAGTTGATTTGATTGATTGCAGGGAGGGGTGGTAACAGGCCAGCTTCAGAGCCTGCGACACATGACAGACAACAGTGAGGCCGACCAAGTATGTGCCAACCTTGATTCACTCACAGCAGCTTCTTAGTGAGAGGCAAACCTAAATGTCAACCCCACTGGGTTGGGGTGGGGGGGATTCGTCTGGCCTTCCAATCAGTGAAGGACTCCCACATGGCCAGGAACACAAGCTGTTTGCCCTGGAAGAACCAAAACCCCTTCGATTCCAATGACATGTAGTGTCACTCATGTGTATTGTGTGGGAATGAGTTCATGCCGTGAGGCTCTGCAATGCTACCCAAAGCACAGACCCACATAGGGCTTGCTGGAGTGATGGATCTGACGACCTCTATTTATGGGGATGGCCTTGTAAGTTCATGCCCACTTGCATGCTTCGGAGTTTCCTGGAGCTGGCAGGAGGGAGGTTAGCAAATTGCCTGGAGCTGTAGAAGGTGCTTCGTGAAGTCTGCTGAGGGAGAAGTGGCAGCGAGGCAGAGGATGGCCCTTGGTGCTGGCCTTGTGGCTCCCCGGGTAGGTCTTTCTTACCTGGAGGGCACCAGCAGGGCACTTTGAATCCGGGGAGCAGCAATTCCCAGTGCCCAAGGGTTGATAGTCTACAGCCAGTGCTGGAGGTCATCTCCCCTCCTCTCTGCTTGCTGTCCGTTATGACACTGGCAGGTCTTAAAGGCATGGCCTGCTGCATACTTCTCCACTTGCCTTTTTACCAGGAGGTCCCCTCCCAGGGTGTGCAGAGCTGTTCCTTGTGGCACTCCAGTCTGAGTTGCTACTCACTGTTCTCACTCTCGCCTCTCTGCCACTTGTACTGCCTTGTAATGTGCCGCTTTCATCGCAGCCCGAACATCACTGGATGTCGGCACGGAAACCACCTGGAAAGTAGAAGTTGTGGCTCAGGCTGGCCCTGTCCCTGACCCCAGGGGGC